GAGCCATACTTCGGTACGAATGGGCCGGCTCGACCGGAGTGATACCACGGCCAAACAGAAAACCGACGTGAAACAACGCTTGCGTTGTGTTTCGTCGCGGGAGTGAGGTTATCGGAGGCCCAATTGCTCCCTTCCCAGTCTCCCCAATCCCCGAATTCTCGACAATCCTCGAATTACCAATTCCCAAAAGGCCGGTAACGCACTTGTAACGCCTCGGTGTTTCAGGTGTCCATGGGCGACGCCGATTGCTTACCATCAGGTGATCCGTAAGCTCGTTTATGCCATAAAAGTCGCAGAGAACCTAACGGGTAACCGGGGCTCCGGCTCGACGTGCAGGAGAAGGAATGGGGTGGTTTTTAGTCAGTAAGAGCCTGACACTCCCTCCCGCCTCGCCCAGGCGGGAGCAGTCATTCGATGATTTTCCCCCCTTAAAGAAAATGCCATAAAAAACAAATATTTCATAACGTTAATATAAAAAAAGCTGTAAGCGCGCCTACTATACCTTTTTCTATTGTTTCCAAAGCATAAATCGTCGTGCCGGAGCCGTGCTCGTTAGGTGTATTATGGTTTTCAGACTCTTACTGACTAAACACCATACTATTCCCGCTTCAGCTTAAAGACGGAGCCGAGGGTTTATGGAGTCATGCCCCGGCAGATGCCCAGCCCAAGTGGGCCCTGTCTGTGCAGCAGCTGTAGCCAAATGCTATTTAGCGCTTGTCTACATGTAGAGTAGAAAACCAAATTATATGGAATTGACGTAAATTTTGACACTTGTCAGTGTCATCCCCATACATTTAGTTTTCTACTCTCTCTGTAGACAAGCGCTAAAGTGGCGTTTGGCTAAAGGCCCTGGTCTGATGGGCAGAGCCGTATTATCCCTGAGACAAACTAGACAAGTGCCTAGGGCGCCATGTTATAGGGATTGCACGGTTGACGCAGTGGCTGGGCAACCGCTTTCGCAGCGAAACGCAGCGTGTAGCCGACTCGATTGCGGTACGGCTTGAAACCAATCTAAATATCAATGTAATTTGAATCCAATAAAATCTCAATAATTATTCAATGTCTAAATTATACAACAACAAACAATAATCGTAGCTGTTAAAATAGCATTCAGAGTGCGAAATATAAAGCCAAACTCAATACCATTTAGTTCATTCAATATCCACGCAATACGGATGCAATGGGCGCTAGTGTTGCAACTCGAGAGTACGAAATTTCACAATACCAATGTCGATCGATCGGAATTGGATTCAAGAGTAAGCCTGAGTCTGGGTGTCCCGTGTATGTTAACTTGTATGTTTGTAAACGCACCCACGAGACATGAAAAAATCCTAGTGTGGGGCAATGTTGCTTTTTTTAAAAGAGAAAAGATAAAAAAGGAGGGCGCCACAAGACGTGCGTACCCAACTGCGCGGGAATGCGGACGGCGAGCGTAGGTGGCTCCCCGTCCGACCAGAAACAGACCCGAGCGTACGGCGCGTCGCGTTCCGCGCGCGCCTCAAAGAGCCATCAGACCACCACAGATGGGGCCCAATAGGGCTGTTGCCGATTCGGAGTCGCGGAGAACCTAACGGGTAAACGGGGCTCCGGCTCGACGTGCAGTAGAAGGAACGGGGTGGTTTTTAGTCAGTAAGAATCTGACACTCCCGCCTCACCCAGGCGGGAGCAGTAATTCGACGATTATCCCCCCTTAAAAAAAAAAAACCAACTGCTAATAGAGTGGCAGCGCTAAAAAAACGAAGAGTACCTTTATGGGTCGACGTTTGGCCATTATTCTAGACTTAATCCGCCTCTACTGAAGTGCTGACGAGTCTTTGAGCCAGGAACGTGACAATGGATCTCGTTCTGTCTAATCAGCGGTTGACGAGCCACAGTTACGGTGACCGGAGATCGTTTTAAGTAAAGGTCTGGTTATTATGTGACTCACCTAGAAAATATATTCCGTTCTCATCATCCAAGTCCAGTATTTCTTCTTTAACCTTTGGACTCGATTCATCTGAAATGATAAAAGAAAAAATATATTCATTACTTGTGGAATAGGGTAGTTGCCTGAATTTTATTTTAATGTCCGTCTGGTAGATTGATTTAAAACTTTAGACACGTATTTTTTCTTTTCTCCCAAAGAAATACTTTCGACGATATATCAATCTGAAATATCGTGTGACGTCACAATACGCTACATTTTGTAGCACTTAGTGACGTAACGACCTCCCACTCCTGAACTGAACTCTATATTATCTAAGTGTTGTAACTTTATAGGAGAAAATAAATAAAATATTGCAATAAAAAAATAAAAAATGTCTAATAGTTTTTCATTATGTAACTGACGGACTAATTAGATTTTTAATTTTCATTCCATGGCAATTACCCTATCGTGCCCGGTGTATGGCGATAGGCTCACCCCCTATTACATGGGACTCATCATAACATAAACAGTGAAAAGTGGGTGTTACATTATACAGTGGCATAATATGCACCTCTGCCTAGCCCTTCGGGGATAAAAGGCGTGATGTTATGTTATTTATTTAACTTTAAATCTCACAGGTCAGTATGTTATAATTTAAACCCCACAAAACCGTTGCAAAGTGTGGGAGAGCCAAATAAATAAATAAATAATGATAAATAAATAAATAATGATAAATAAATAAATAATAATAAATCAACATACCTTTAACAGTAAACGCATTATATTTCGCTAGGATCTCCTTTTGGCACTCCTGTACCTGCAGCTTGAAGTCACTGGCATCCCGGAGCCTTGTGATGCACACCTCACAAATACCACAGTCATCATCTTCTGGACTAAGTTGGATCTGAAATTAATAAGTAGACAGTTTCCCCTTGAATCCAATTCCGATCGATCGACATTCATCATCATCATCATATCAGCCACAGGACGTCCACTGCTGAACATAGGCCTCCCCCAATGACTTCCAGATAGGCCGGTTGGAAGCGACCTGCATCCAGCGGTTCCCTTACGGATGGACGTCCATCGGATCGATCGACATTGGTATTGTAAAATTTCGTACTCTTGAGTTACAACACTAGCGCCCATTGCATCTGTATTGCGTTGATATTTAATGAGCTAAATCGTATTGAACTTGGCTTTATATTCTGTACTCTGAATGCTACTGTAACAGCTACGATAGGGGTTGTATAGTATTGACATTGAAAAACTATTGAGATTTTATTGGATTGAAATTACATTGACATTAAGATTGGTTTCAAAAGTAAGCACCCAGTTCTGCGTAACTGGGTAAAATATCAAGGAATGGGGGCTACCCTATTTCTGTTCACCAATAGGGAATTAGTAAGTGTCACACGATTGGATGACAATAGCTGACAGCTGCTGTGATTAGACAACCAAATCTCTTGCTAATACATTTGGACCGTCTAGGGACCAAAAATACGGTAGCCCCATTAGCTGTTAAATCCCCAAGTGGTCATCGATGATTGCTCTCCAGTAAGTCCATTATAGACCTTAGTTCCGATGTTTAGAGACTACTTTTGTATGAACAAATTTTGGGGACTTTCGGTATGATATATCAACATATTAAACTGTCAAACACCACGAGGACACCGGTGACAGCAACCTATTGTTCTTTAATTGTGTCTATTAACAATAAAAATTTCTAACGAGTAAATATGAATTGAATGGTATCAAGCTTAGTTGTTTTATACAGTTTGCTATCATAATGAATAATAAAAATAAATAAAATAATTTAACCAAATATCAGTGTGATTACATGCTATCATTGGAAAACACTTGAAAAATTGAAAATAACTTCAGTAACACAACAAACAAGCTTCAGTAATATTTGCCTAGCCTGAGAATTAAACCCAGGCCTTTTTAATCAGTGACAGTCTATTGCTGCACCCTTTATAAGATGGTTGTCAAAATCTCCATGTAACGGGTTTCATTCGCACGGAGGAACTCTTTGTGTGATCTATGAATTGTAGTTTTAGATGTATGTGCCATGTGTATGTGAAATTGTATGTTTGTAACTGCACCCATGACACAGGAGAAAATCATCAACTATAGGAGATTGCAATATAATAGGTTCAGGTTTATCAGACAGTCCTATTGGCCGATTTAAGACAAAAGTAAGTGCAGTTTTGATATCCATTTACTATCAATTTAATAAAATAATGCTGAGTATAGCAACTTGGTATTTATAATGACATTTTTGAATAGAAATAGGAATAATATGCTACAATAAAATCTCTGATAGTTATGAACAGGACCAGTATGAACTAATATTTAAAAATAGTGATTTAATTTAATTATTTACCATACTAATATTTTAAAATCTTTTTTTATTGCCTATATTGTACTATATATTAGAAAAGGCTTCTAGAAACAGCGTTAAACATTTAAATATATATTATAACAACAATTTGCCTCCTATATTTGGGTCAAAAATTAATGATAAAAATAACAACAGACTGAGATGCTTATAAAACTTGAATTTTACAGAAAAAATGCAAAGATCTACATGAACTTGTGTATTATAGTTTTCTCTATTAAAAGGAGGTTTTATTTAATGTATATTTACCTGAATTTCAAAGCAATCCTTTAACATATCAGCGTAAATTTCAGATTTGCCCAATATAGTGTATTGGGTTTTTAAATCTTTATCTGGAGTCCGCACAAGGCAGCAGCGGCAGACTATGCCGTAGGACATGGTTTTAATTACACTTTACACGACTTTTACACAAATTAATCCTATAATTTTCATAAAAAATCTATTTAACTATAGTATAAATTCATACGCTATTATTTTTGATGACATTCATTGAGTCCGAATAATATAAATCTTATTTACACTTCAAAGCATTACTTCTAATGCTTTCTCTTTTACTCATATGTAATTATAGTTTTTGATCTCTTTCTATTGTACAATCAAGTAACATTCGGTATCAATAAAACTGTGGTCTGGAACTCACACTCTAGTGAGTGAATGACAGTTAGCTGTCATTTTTACTTTTTTGGAAAACGGAATGGCTTTTGAGAATAATCTTTTAATTTTTTGTTTTTCAAAATACGTATAGGTAAAGTCGATTGCTTTCTTTAAAATGCCAAGTATTAATGCCTTTGATAATTTTGATAAAATGCTGTAGTCGTTACAATTAATAATTGTTTTGTAAAGAATAAAGTTCTCTGGCTGTTTAACAACGGTCACCTTTGCCATTACTAAATTCTTACCCAAAAATGAAACAACGAAAAAAAGTTACAGAAAATGGCGGAGCTTCGAAGTTGTAGCGTCCTATGACTTTTTCAATTAGATTTAAGATTTTTATGTGCGTGTGATATAAAAGTGTAATTAACACGATGGAGACTGCAGGGCACAGCAATATGTGTCGGTGTTGTGCTTCAGAAGGTGCGTTTAAAGACATTAAAAGCACATATCATTGGATGGGAGAAGAGGAGATTTACGCCGACATGTTGAAGGATTGTTTCGACATAAACGTGAGTATTTATCCCATACAAAGACATAATACTATAAGAAAACTATCACAAAAAACGTAAAACTTCCATTATTGTTTGTTTATCACATAAAAAGTGCATTTGAGCAGTGGTAACTCATTTTTTCTTACTCGTTTTCGGGTCGGTAATTATATCTATCTATGTGGTATAACATCCAATTCGATTAGCAACTCAAGCGTGTCTCGTTACTTGCCGTTTACAATGGCTGTTAAATTTTAATTGCTGTTAAAACAACAATTTTATTTAGTAAATCAGTAAAATTCTTTTGCCCTTCTAAATCGGTTGCCCTTTCATGCCCTATCGATTTTCTTCTCAAAAGGAGTTTTATTAAAGAGGCCGCATGTTGGCTTAAGTAATTGTACTTCTACCTCAAAAATTATTTTGCAGAATCTAATAAATCTAATAAAAATGTCATACATGGTATGTTGTGTGTTGTATGAGAATTTTGTTTGTAAACAAATTGTGTGTATATGAAAAAAATTTTGCAAAATTGCATTATTTTTTGTCTTATGAGAAAGATGTGTGAAGATCTGATGGATAAGGTGCTGATGAAAACTTTGAATTACATACTTATATATAAGTCCAGGTACTTTAGATAAGCTAAGAATTCTACTTCCTACTTCAATACATAGTATAAAACAAAGTCGCTTTCGCTGTATGTCCGTATGTATGCTTAGATCTTTAAAACTACGCAACGGATTTTGATGCGGTTTTTTT